CTCCTCCTTGGGCCCGTCCTCTTCCTCTGAACCCCTGTAGAGCCAGTTCAGGGAGCAGAACCACCCCTGGCTCTTTTGTTGGCAGCTGAACCGGGGCAAGGCTTGTTAGGCTTCCTAATGAGGAGAGAGTGTTTAGTTTTCAGCTGTTGTAATGAGCTAAGTTGGTTGAAGGGAGACTGGCATGCGGGTGAGTGGCAGAGCTGCAGACAAAAAACCCACAGCGCTTATCCTGGCTTTTCTGCCACTTTGTGGTTCGCACATTTTCGCACCCTTTAGAAGTTCTGATAGTTTTTCAGCCCCTAAATCACTGAATGGCTTTGAAAAACATAACTTGGATGTGCACCAAGATGTGCTTCCTCAGAAATAAAACTGTATTTTTTGGTGTCTTTCCTCCAGCAAGGTTAGCTTTTGGTTGAAAAAGATAGTGTTTGGATCGGCAGTGGTCTCGAGGGCCCCAGTGTGTCGTGCTGCTGGTTCTCTTTGAGTGGTAACGTAGCTGGAGAAGTGCCACCCTTCCCATTCACCTCAAATGTTAGCTGTGCACACTCAGCTAACGAGGTAACTTGAGGGGTTGTCATACACCGTGCTGCTGACTACTCTGTGTCGCTTTTGACTTGCATGCCAGTCACGTTCGGCTTCAAAATGAATTTATTTATGCAAAGCGATTAGTTTCAGACTAAGAGCAGCTGGTTTAATTCCCTAAGGGCATAGCTCAGATGTAGGGGTGTTTGTTTGTTTTAAACTTCACTGTTAATGATGCTATGGGATCTCATTTTTCTATTTATTTTGTTTTCTCTCTATTCTTATATCCTACTAGATATTTTGGATCCAGAAAGATTAGTGCAATGCCCATATGATAAGCATCATCAAATCAGAGCCCGCCGGTTTCCCTATCACCTTGTAAAATGCAGGAAGGTAAGTGAAACTGCTCAGCAAGGCACTGAATGCTGCTAGTTGTGTGTGTGTCAGTAAGACCTGTCTGGCTGGAGTAACTTTGTGCCACATAGCTTCATTTAGCCTGTATTTCTCTCGCTCTTTTTTTTTTTTTTTGTGGTTCACTCAATAATAACTTTGAGTGCATATTAATTCAGCTCTCACCAATGTGGCTGTGCTGAGAAGAAATAGGTTCTTTTCAGGTAGGTCAAGGAGAAGATCTTGCAGCACACACAGGTTACGTTAAGTGTTTGCAATTTGGGGAGAGAATGCAGGCCAAGTTACATGCGCGCTTTCAAACAGGACGGAGCAGAGATAATTTGCCATTGAAATTCTTTCTGCTTTTCAGTGCCTGAAGCAGAACAGCTGCCTAGCAGTTTCCTTCACATTGCTAATAACTATTTATCTTCCATCTCACAGAAACTGCTAGTCTTTGATTTAGCACCTATGGAAGAGTCTTTCCCCCACCACCCTCAACATTTATGCAGAATTTGAATATGAATCATATAATAGGATGCTTTCCTTTCTCCTCACCTGTGTCCTAATGCGTTTTGTTTGGCTGATTTTTAACCTGTCAAGGATTACTGAGTTTTGCAAGCAGAAGGGAAGGCAGACTGGGCTTTGGGTCTTTGATTAAAAACTAATTGTTTCCCCTAAAGTTCACCAGTATGTTTTTAAAATACTATAGGAGTGTTGTATCTTCCAGTGAGGATAAAGGTGTGCAGTGTGTGAATTGATACCAGTACTTAAAACTGATTTGTTTTGATTGAGCAAGTAGTTTTTAAAAACAGAGTAAGAAAAGAGGAAATTCTCTTCTGAATTCAAGAGGCTTAAATTCCTCTTGTTCAGCCCAGGTAGACTGTGGTAATAATGAGCGTGTGGGTCGAGTGAGTAATGTTGACCTGTTGTTTTGGTCTGTGTTTTACCTAACAGGTGACTGGTTTGGGAAGATTAACTAATTGGGGGGAGGTAAGATAGTGTCACCCATCAGACTGTGGATCACATAGGGAGCTGCTGTATTAGATTCAAGAAGAGCTCAAAAGTTCTAATCACATCTTATCTGAAATGCCCCTTGCACTGGAGGCTCTTGTTGTGTCTGAGCAGAGATTGACCTTCCTGCTTCTTGATCTCTTGAATTCCCTTTGAGTGTGAGCAAACTCCATGCATAAAATCCAATAAAGGCTTTACCACTCTTTTCTCCCCCCCGCCCCATGCATCAAAATGCAGCCTTGCCACAGAAAGAGACGACCCTGTTTAAGAGGAGCCAGTCAACTCCTGATAGCTCAGGAGAGGGTGTGACAACACGGCTGGAACAGCTGGCACAAGGTAGCTCCAGTCTAGCTGTTGCAGAAGATGAGGGTTGTGAGGGCACAACAAGCCACTTGTCCTTCTGTTTAAAAACATCTGAATGGTTGAGATGGGCTTCATATCTCGGGCCTGTTGTTTCCACGGGAGTTGCATCTGCGCAACTGAGGTTTAGCAGAGGGTGGTTTCACGTGAATCAGTTCAAGGATGGTTCATTTTTCCCAATCAGCTGCACTTTAGAGAGCAGGTGAGTGAGTTTCCCCACACACTTACAGTGGGTGTTTGAGCCATGTCTTAACTCTCCTTGTTTAGTCTGCCTTTTAGCAATGTCAGGAATTGAGATCTCCAAAGCCTTTTGTTAATCAATAGAGAAGACAGGGTAAGTGTATGTAGTGGGTCCTGCACGTGTTCCGGGTTTCTTTTGCCTAGAGCTACCCTCAGGTTGCAAAGGAGTTGTCCACGTGCCCCTTCAACGCCCGCCACCTGGTTCCTCAAGCTGACCTGCGCGATCACATATCAAATTGCAATGACAAACGGTTCATCGAGGAAGAAATAGGTAAGAGCCACACATGTGTTCACACCTGGGACAAACGTGCCTTGTTTGTAAGGACTGCTCCGAGAATAACTGGAAAACAGGAAGCCCCATGTTGTTTGTGTTCCATCCCAGTGAGACTGGCTGGAGGGTGTGTGCAAAACCTGCAGATTACTTAGGCATCCTGCATTATGCGGTGTCATTTCTGTCCCCTACAATTACTAGGTATCTACTGCAACATTACAGTATTTTTGCAACAAATGTAGATTTGCCCTGAGGTTATTGGTCCTGTCTCCCTTCATGGAAGCAGGTTTCCTCTCTGCTAAAGCACTTATGCCACCAGTTCTCAGGCACTGGAGACTTTTGATCCAAAGTGCCTCATGCTTCTGAAGCTGGGTTGATTGTAGTCATCAGGTTTTCTCTCTCTGAAGCGAGTGAGGCCAGTGACTTCCAGAGAAGGCAGATGAATTCTGTGAGCACGTGGCAGGCACCTCCGTGCGATGAAGACTGGGATACAGGTGAGGAACTTCCACATCTGCCTTCACCCTCATCCTGTCTTCAACTCTCCTTGAACAGTGAGAGCCCAGAGGTGCCTTCACTTAGCTCTCCCTTGTAGCATGCTCTGGGGTAATTCCTGAACCCACACATTTCCCTGCTTAGAAAACTGTTCCTAGCAGATATTCTACATGCTTGTCATGGTTGGTGTGGTGGTACCCCCAAAGGCCTGTTCACAGAATCCCAGAACGGTTGAGGTTGAAAGGGAACCCTAGAGATCATCCAGTCCAAACCCCTTGCTCCAGCAGGGACACCCAGAGCATGTGGCACAGGGTGGTATCCAGATGGGTTTGGAAGATCTCCAGAGCAGGAGCCTCCACAGCCTCTCTGGGCAGCCTGTTCCAGGGCTCTGGCACTCTCACAGGAAAGCAGTTCTTCCTCACATGGAGGTGGAACTTCACGTATTTCAACTTGTACCCATTATCCTTTGTCCTTTCACTGGTCACCACCGAGAGGAGTTTGGCCCCATCCTCTCTACATTCTTTTCTCAGGTATTTATGCATTTCCTCCTGAACGTGTAGAAATATGACAGCGACACTGCTCATCTGCAGGGTTCTTGGTTCTGAGCCACAACATGTGTTTCCTTTTGCAGAGTCCCTGGAGCACTTGACTTCTCCATTTGTTCAGGGCATGGCAGACTATGGCATAAACGGGTAAGGAGAGAGGAGTTGGGTTTCTTACAGCCAGGTTTTGTAAAGATGAATATTGCTGCGTGCTTCCAAGGCAGCCTCAGTGGTTGGCCATGAGCTGCCAAAACTGAATGGCTTGGCTGGTGGTGATGCACCTCTGCTCCTGTAAGGAATGAGACAGCGGGATTTTCTGGCTTTACATAATAGCTCTATGTTTTCTCAGAAGTTTTCTAGTGGTATTGGAGCATATAGCCCTTCCAAGTACCCCACCGTTTAAGCAGCCCACAACCACAGACTCGCAGAACCCTTCAGGTCTGATGGAACCTCTGCTCCACCTCCTGCATACGCAGGGTCAGCTAGAGCACCCTGTATGGGACACTGCACAGGCAAATTTTGAACGACTCCTGAGGAGAAGAATCCACAGTCTCTCTGGGCACCTGGTTCCCAGGCTGTGCCCTGCTCACAGGGAAGATTTTTTTCCACATATTAAGATGGAATTTCCTGTTTTTGAGTTTGTAGCCATTGCCTCTTGGCCTGGGGCTGGGCACCACTGAAAATAGGCTGGCCCCATACTGGACAGCCTCACTTAAGAAATCAGTGCACACTGAGGACATCCCCCTCTCAGTCTCTCCCTCTGCAGGCTCAGCCCTGCTCCCTCAGCCTTTCCTCACAGGAGAGCTGCACCAGTCCCCTAATGATCTTCACAGTCCTATGCTAGACTATCTCCAGCAGTTCCAGGTCTCTCTTGTACTGGGGAGCCCAGGACCACACAGAAGACACGCCATGTGGCCTCAGCAGGGCTGAGGATCACATCCCACAGCACTGCTGGCAAGACTTCCTAAGGCACCTCAGGAGAGCAGTAGCCTTCTTGGCCACAAGGACATGTTGCTGCCTCATGGTTAACTTGTCCATGAGCACCCACAGTTTGTTCTTTGCAGAGCTGCTCTCCAGCAGGTCAACCCCCAGCCTGTACTGCTGCATGGGGTTCTTTCTCCTTCGGGGCAGTACCGTGCACTTTGCTTTCTTGAGCTCCATGAGGTGCCTCTCTGCCCAGCTCTGCAGCCTGTGCACAAGGCAGTGGATGGCAGCACATTCCGTGGGTGATGCATCCACCCCGGAGTACCCTCCCCTTGTGCCCCTGCTCTCCCCAGTACGGTATAAAATGCAGCACTTCGAACAAAGGGGTTTGCCAAGAGAACTGACTGAAGTCTTTGCGTTTCAGCACCACGTTGGAGCGTAAGAGTTACCTGCCTCCAGGTTTACGTGCCCCCAAGTCCTCTCCGTATGCCATGGCAAGGAAGCCTGTAAGTGATGTGTGTGAGTGGCCTTGACACTGTGACTTCTGTAGATGACAGCAGCTATCAAAATCTCCTGCAGCACTGCTTTATGGCCACTGCTGGAGACAGGAAGGGTGCTCTGTGCAGGCCTGCTTGAGAGCAGCTTTCTAAGTACTCTCCTGCATAGGTCATTCTCTGTGTCCTTTCTTTGAGGCATCTCCTGTGCTTTTTGTTGTTCCTTAGTCTTGGCAGACCTGATTTACAGGGGTGCCAACTTAAGCAGCCCCACTGCCCCACCAATTTGACTGTGTCTGTAACCAAGTGCCTCCAAATTATCCAAACTACCCACTTCTCCTCCCTGCCTTTTAATCCAGATCATTTTCTTGCTTTGTGCAGCTGCACTTAATGTCAGACCTTGCTAACCCAGGGCAGGGGTGTAGCTGGCACTGCGTAAGATGACAGTACTGTAGAGAAGAGGGGGGGCAAAGTATTTCTTGGGCTGCATGAGGAGGTAGGAGGGAGAGAGCCTCTCTTGCTGGAGTGCCTGATGCTGAAATCATCAACACTAGCAGCAGAAGAAGGGGACTTTGAGGAATAAGTGACTGTTTCCCACTTGGAGTAACTAAAGCTGGTATTCACAAGGCTTTGCAACCATGACTTTCGCACAAATGAGATACCTGCACAGCAAGATAGTGCCAGCAAAGCCCTGGCAGGGCCTGGGATGGTGGTAAATCCCGCTTTTCTGACAGCGTTTGTTTCAAAGGATGGAACAATTTACAATAGTGGTTGATGAGCACAGCCAGCAGAACCAGTACCTGTGTTAAGATGTTACCTAAATGACAGTGCTCTGCCCCAAAGCCTGCAGGTCCAATGCTAGCCAGCTCTGTGGTTGTTTTGAAAGGCATAAGGAATTTTTCTGCCTTTGTGTCTGCCTGTTTAAAATTGTCTAAATGGTTGAGATGTGCTTGCTGTCTCGGCCCTGTTGTTTGTAAGTGCATTGCATCTGTGATTTAAACCATGCAACCGTATTGCCAGCATTGCAGCAAGTTGTGGGGAATTTAGCCGGGCGTGGTTTCTCTTGAATCAGTTCAAAGGTTTGTTTTTCCCAATCAGCTGCACTTTAGAGAGCAGGTGAGTGAGTTTCCCCACACACTTACAGTGGGTGTTTGAGCCATGTCTTAACTCTCCTTGTTTAGTCTGCCTTTTAGCAATGTCAGGAATTGAGATCTCCAAAGCCTTTTGTTAATCAATAGAGAAGACAGGGTGAGTGTATGTAGTGGGTTCTGCACATGTTCTGGGTTCTTTTTGCCTAGAGCTGCCCTCAGGTTGCAAAGGAGTTGTCCACGTGCCCCTTCAACGCCCGCCACCTGGTTCCTCAAGCTGACCTGCGCGATCACATATCAAATTGCAATGACAAACGGTTCATCGAGGAAGAAATAGGTAAGAGCCACACATGTGTTCACACCTGGGACAAACGTGCCTTGTTTGTAAGGACTGCTCCGAGAATAACTGGAAAACAGGAAGCCCCATGTTGTCTGTAGTTTTGTGACTCAGAGGAGTGTTTGGAAACAAGTCACATTCCCTTCATTTTTTTTGTGTTGCCTTGTGGGAGTCCTGCGGCTGTGGAAAGCAAATGGAAAACTATTTGTTACCAGATTCCTTGAATAAAAAGGTGCTGCCATAAACTGCAGATGGAAGTACCTCTAGCAGGAGCTAGGATCTTTAGTGAGCAGAAAAATGGACCTCCTTTTGCTAGAGGACCTCTCTTTTGCTGATCTGCCCTTGTTGCAGCCTGACACTGGTGCTCTGAGAAAAGTAATTCTCCACCAAAATCCCTGCAGCTCTTCTCCTGCAGAGCAGTCTGAGTAGCTCCCTCCCAACAAGAAATGGGGCAGCTTCCTTTGTCCTCCATCCCAGTGAGGCTGGCTGGAAGGTTTGTGCAAAACCCCCAGATTACTTAGAAAGACATCTTGCCTTATTCACTGTCCTCCCCTAAAATGCCTGTGAAACTACTGCCATGATACAGCAGCCCTCAGCCTCATGTAGAGCTGTCCCTAGGCTTCTGGTGATGCCTCCCTTCCTGGAAACAGGTTTCCTCTCTGCTCACATTTCTGTCAGCAAGTCTCACACGCCAGAGAGTTTCCTACTTGTTGAAAAAGCCGCACGGTTATTCAGCTGCACACACTGAAGCATGCGAGTCTCGACATCTGGCTCCTGGGATCAGCAAATGCAGCCTGTTTGCATTGTGGGGGGTTCCTCTCTAAGGCCAAGAGCTGTTTGTAGCTTGATCCGAAGTACCTTATACTCCTGAAGCTGGGTTGATGGTAGTCATCAGGTTTTCTCTCTCCCTGAAGCCAGTGAGACCGGTGACTTCCAGAGAAGGCAGATGAATTCTCTGAGCACGTGGCAGACACCTCCATGTGATGAAGACTGGGATACAGGTGAGGAAAACTCCAATGTTGTCCTCCAACTTTACTTGGAACAGTGCCTTTGCTTAGGTCTCCCTTGTACCATGATCTCATTGTGGTCATTCCTGAACCCAAGCATATCCTTACCTGGAAAACTGTTCCCAACAGAGCTATTCTACATGACCACCACAACTGGCATGGCGATTCCTCCAAAGGGCTGTTCCTTCCCAGAGAGGCTTTTGTTTCCTCTGTGCAATGATGAAAATGAACAGATAGTGACTTTTACTTTGCTTGGTTAAATGTCACAAGCCAGATGCTTCTGTCCTTCATGAGATCCATTCTTATTTCCTCCTGAACGTGTAGAAATATGACAGTGACACTGCTTATCTGCAGGGATGGTTCTTGGTTCTGAGCCACAACATGTGTTTCCTTTTGCAGAGTCCCTGGAGCACTTGACTTCTCCATTTGTTCAGGGCATGGCAGACTATGGCATAAATGGGTAAGGAGAGAGGAGTTGGGTTTCTTATAGCCAGGTTTTGTAAAGATGAATATTGCTGCGTGCTTCCAAGGCAGCCTCAGTGGTTGGCCATGGGCTGCCAAAACTGAATCCTGGGAGGAGGGAAACTTTAATTAACAGTGAATGTTTCTGTGCTGCTGGCTCAGCATTACCTGTTTGGGCAAGTGGGTTTGCCAGGGGAACTGACTGATGTCTTTCCTTTCCAGTACCACTTTGGAACATAAGAATTCCCTGCCTCCAGGTTTACGTGTCCCTAAGTCCTCTCCGTATGCCCTGGCAGTGAAGGCTGTAAGTAATGTGCATGTGTGGTCTCAACACTGTGACTTCTGTAGACGATGATGGTTAGCAGAATCTCCTGCTGTAGCGATGTTTTGTGGCCACCACTGTGTAGACTGGAGAGGCACTAGGTAAAACACTAGGTCTTGAGAGCAGCTTTCTAGGTATCTGGTCCATGGATCATCTTCTGTATCCTTTCTTGGAGACCTCTTCTGTGTGCTTTCTCCTGTTTCATAGTCTTGACAGACACCCAAAAATAGGGGAGCCAACTTAAGCAGCCCCACTCTCCTACCCCTCTGATTCTCTAATCAGCTGTCTCCGAATTATCTGTAGAACTAGCGCTGCCAAAGATGGCTCTTCTGGAGAGGAGGGGTGGAAATCGATATTTCAAACTGCGTGAGGATGTGGCAACTTCTCTTGTTGGAGTGCCTGACACTGAAATTACAGACCATATTTCACCATTATCAGGAAAACAAAGGCTTCAAAAGGGCCTTTGAGAAATAAGTGACTGTTTCTAGCTTAGAGCAACTCATGATTACCAGTGGTGGTGCAGTTTTCATACTGTCGAGCTGAGTTTGCCAAACAAAGCTGAAACTTGCTTGTAGGTGAATGTTTCTCCTGAGGTGATGAGTGCTGTTCCAGCAAAGGCTGTTCTGAGTTGGAGAGTGGAGGAAATTTTTGTATTTTCCTTCCTTTCACAAGCTAAACTTGTCACAGTTTGGAGAGTTAGTCTCTTCTCCCTGATCTCTTCATTTATGAAAATCTGGTCACTCCCTGCACCAAATAGTCCTTTTCTGGCTTTCTGGGAACACAGAGCTGATGATGATGATAGAGATTTCCCTGGAGCTGACTGCAAGTCTCTGTATGCTGGAGACCTGACCACACATGACTGTTTTGCAACATTTGCAATACTAACCAAATGGGTTCCGTGAGCTAACGTCACCTGCCTTTGGTGATCTTTATTAATAGTCACTGCTCTTCAATAAATGGGCTTTGTAGAGTTACAGTGCACCAGCTCAGAAATCTTCCCCTCCTCAGGCAGCAGTGATTAACAGGAAGAACACAGGGCCTAGCAAACATCTGCAGGTTCACTTGTCACATGGCAGCATGGATGAACTGCCTGCACAACTGGTGAAGTTGTGTTTGTTTCTGTCGCTTGGGAGCAGCCTTTTGAAGAGGTCTTTTGAAGTAGCCATTACCTTAAGTATTGGGAAGGATGGTTTTAAGGAGAGGATTGGCTGATCAGGTTCCTGTTCTGAGCTCAGAGCTCTGCTCAATCTCTTGGCAGCACATACAACTAATGAGCAGCTTCATTAGTTGAAATGGTGGCAGTTGTAATGAGGGCCGCTGTGCGTCACAGTCCTCAGACAAGCAAGAGCAGGAGGTGGCAGCATGGAGAGTTGCACCCACCACAGAAATCTTGACCTTCAGTCTGATGCTTTAAAACAAATGTGTGTATTTGCCAAAGTTTCCTTCAGAGTTGCATCCTTTGCTTGATGATGTCTTGTACTTGAGGAGAAATGAGGAGAAAGGATGATTCCAGGTATGCTGGGCAAAGGGGGAAACACTCTGTATAAATTGTGACTTTGTGTGAGTTCAGGCCTTGGTGTAGCAGGAACATGGCTAGTCCCGTTTCAGTGGAGGTTAGGAACTGCACAACACAATACTTCCCAAGAATTTCTACCCTGCACCATAAGGACGTGTCCTGTATTTGCAAAGAAACAGTACGTATTACTGTTTTCAGGATTACATGGTGTCTAGAGTGATTTCTCTGGACTTTTACCAGAAAAAGTGGGGAAAAAGTAGTTGGATGGTAGAGGAATGCAGGGAAATTTCCTTGTGGTAAGCTATGATCACAGGATCTGAAGCTAATGAAGTCCTATTTGAGGACCTGTTACAGCCTGAAAAGCACAAAATCAGTTTTTAGAGTTTTTCGCGCTTCTGGGTAAGGTGAGATATCCTGCTGTGTCCCTGCATAAGGGCAGACTGTAATCATTTATGTCTCTGGAGCAGTCAAACAGGAGGATATTTTTCTATGCATGTCTTTTCTTCTCATCTTTTCAGCATCCAAGATGGTCTGCTTAGGGGATGTAAAATGAACAGTTTGAGTAGTAAATTATACTACCATTTACAGACACTTTGTTTTCTTTCTAGAAAGCCCCATGATCCCTCCGTGGCTGCCGGGAGCCTTCGCTTTGTGGCATGTGGGTGTACGGCACTTCCCACCATGAGGAATTCCCACAGTGTTCATTATCTTACAGTAATGCACAGTAGCAAACAGTTGGGATTTAAACAGTACTCTAACTACTTGTCCAGTCTCTGTTAGGGTTTTGTAGTTCTTTAAAGAATAATTTTCCAACCTTTTAATGCATTTGAGAGTTCAGACAGAACTGTTCTTCCCTGTGGCAGGAGAAGCTGGTTTAAATTACCATTAAAGTCTTTAGGATGGTGGAAATGTTTGAAATAAAAGGTATGCAAAGTGTTTGTGTGTACACACACACACACACACACAAAGGGATGTAAAGTATACACTTTATAAACACAGAGAATTAAGAAACATCATATCTGGCATTTGTGTAGAAAGAAATTGCTACCAAAGGTGTTTTGGAAAAATGTTCCTCATAGTACTAATCTTCTGCCATTTGTAGTACTGCCACTGCACAATAGTCCGTGTTGACAAGCAGGTGCAGTTGTCTTCTCCAACTCTTGTTCAAAATGGCAATTTAGAATAAAGCAATTGCTGTGAATCCCCTTGGCTCCATTTTTATGTTCTCTAAAGACTGGCTTTGATGGTCTTTGTCTTGTTTTATTGACTTAAGGCATCCTCTACCCTCTGACCGTTTCCATTTTGCCCCTGCCTGATTCGCTGCTGCCCCCTCACCCTGTGAGCAGGTAAAGGAGCTCAGTTAAAGGCCAGCAGGTGGAAGAGGGGCAGGACTGCTACCTGCTTCTGTTGGGTCCCCCTGTATTTGCTGCCAAGGGCTGAGCTGGGGCAGCCAGCAGAGCGGGGCTGGGGGCTGTGCACCCTGTCAGCTTCCCTGGCCCAGGTGAGTTTGTGCCATGGGATCCATGCAGCCAACACAGGCCAGAACTGTGAAGTCGCAGATCTTTTTAGGCACCCTTCTCTAAGGGGGACTGTGCACGGGCCAGTGCTGGTGAAATAGTGTAAGGATTTGGGGAGGCAAGATTAACTGTGAGGATGTCAAAAACATGACTGACCTCCAGCCTTATGGTTATTTGAACCCCAGTGTTATCTACTGTTAAGGTATCAAGATAAAGCTCTCCTGAGCTTTCTGCCTTTACCACAGGGCAAGGGACACCTGATTGAAGAAGGGGGGTGAGTGCCCCCTCCTGCAAGAGGTCTAAGAGCCTCCACCTGCTCAGAGCCCCTCAGCTCCTCTTGGGGCTGTGCAGGAGCGGAGCCCTTCCCCGTGTCCAGGAGCAGCTGGGATGTGGAGCGGGGTCATTCCCTCCCGCCGGGCCGGGGAGCGTTTCTGGGTGGGCACCTCTCTGCCCTGGGAGCTGTTTGGCGGTACGAGCGCCTCTGAGCTCACTCTGAGCACCCCACCAGGCCCTCCCTGCCTGCTGGGCCCTTTCTGCCTTTAATGCGCCACCTGCTCCAGGGGGCCAGGACTGGTCTGACAAGAAATCCCTGTGGAAATGTGGGAAATGAATGGTTTGGGTTGCAGTCTTTGGCCTATGATTAAAGAGGGAGGAGAGGAGGCTGCGTCTACCTTTAGGCATCGATTCCTTCATGGTGTGAAGCCTCAACACGCTGGAGCTGCCTCTCATTTCTTCCGCTGCCTGCAGCCATGTTCATGTCTGGTAGGTCTCTCTGCCGAGTCCCACCTGTTTGCAGCCGTACAAGTTGCTCCACCCCATGGTTGGGTGCACCCATGTTCTCGCTACAGCTCTCCCAGCTCTCAGCTCTGTCCCTGCCATCCCAGCGTGGTTCTGCGCAGCCTTGGTGAAGGACGGAGTCTAGTGGGACCCCCTGCCCTGTGCTGCACCCCCCGCTCAGGCTCGTGGGAGACGCAGGGGCTGGAGGACGGTGCGGTACATGAGCCCACACGGATCAGCAGGGGGAGGCCAGGCGGACCGCCCGTGTTAGGCTCTGTGCTCCCCAGGGGCTGCCTGGAGTTCCTGCTGGGTCCTGCCTGGCACGGGCACCCCCAGGCTGCTCCCAGGGAACCCTGTGCCTCTGCACTTGGCCACCAGCTACACCTGGCCCAGGGACACTGTGAGAAGGACCTTCTGCCCCTGCCCCCAGGCCCAGCCTTCCCCGCTGCTCTCATCTGCAGGCTGCAGAACATCCTTCCTCCTCTGCCCCGCTCCAGGTCCTGGGGGAAGGGATCAGCCCCTTCCTGCCCCTCTCTCCTGGCTAAAGCCAGACCTAAGTCCAGCTTCACTGATTTTTCTCTGTGCTGGGGGAACAAGCGGCTCTTTCTTCATTCCTTAGATCTTCCCTGAGCTAGGCGCAGGCTGGAGTAACCTTGGCTCCCACAATCTGACCAGCTGGCAGCAATTTGCACTGCCTAGATCCACAGGGGCCTTTCCCTGCTGGCACCACAAGTCCCTACAAGTCCATGCAATCCCTGGTCACAGCCAGGGACACCCATTTCTCCTCCTCATCTTCACTTTCCCCAGCTAGGAGATCCTATGGAGGTGCAGAGACTGCAGTGTTGCCACACATATGGTCCATGTCCTGTA